TTTTTTAAAAATAATCTTTTGTTCTCGACTTTTCAATATGCTCTCCCCTTCCCTTTATAGAGTTTTCACGCCCCCAAGGGGGTGCGCCCCACAGTTTGAGAAACACTGTTGTAAGTTATTTCAAGGACTTTTACATATTAAGTCTTTGTTGCAGACAAATATTTTTGTAGCAGATAAATTCAGTAAGACAAATTTGTGTATCTTATACATATATAATATTGTGCATAATTCAAGAAATAAAGATAATTGAATACATTTTAATGCTCTGCAGCTTTGCGTAATTTTAAATATTCGAACACTTCCTACAGCACAGGAACCAAATGGAAATCTCGGCGGAAACTTTTAACTCCGTCTTTTCACTTCAAAATCCTAGATGACTTTTTGCCGACTTTCAACGACCAATCTATGTTTCTGGTGAAGAAGTTAGAGTCGTTACAACATGAAGAGTACGTTGACATCACACCTCTAGTGATATTGTGCACTTTAGATATTGTGTGTGGTAAGATATTATACATTGGTTTCTATAATTCTATTTAAACATTTAATATGCATAAAACTTAAGTGTGAAAATACAGCAATACATAATTTATAAGTATTGAAGCCAGGGCTTTGCGGAACTGAACCGAAAACCGGAAAAACCGTTATTTTGGTTGGAACGAAAAAATACAGTTCGAAGCCTTGATTGAAACACGCCACATACATTGTTTTCCATGAGCAACCGGAATTAGGGCAACCTGAGAAAATGTGACTAATATTACCAAACTAACAACTTCTTCTCCCTTGGCGATATCATATTTTCACCAAAATTTTCGTCAAGGGAGAAAAAAATAGTTTAGAGAGAAGTCTCTAAGGTCAACTTATCTAGAAATGTCTAAATTTGTGATTCCCAAAGTGGTCTATATCGACCCCCAGGGGCCTATGATAACTTACTAGGGTCGGGTCGAGTCCATATCTGTAAAAAAATAACTTAAGGGCCTATGAGATGTAATTCGGGGGGAGGAGTCTACAATAGTGGCTCTCATTAAACCAGATCATGATTTTGTATTAAAAGAAAATTTAATCGCGTAGAAACCAGATTTATTTACTAAATTTAATAAGATAAATTTGCATAAACAAGGGGGCAGCATGAATTTTATTAAACCAAGGACCATCATTTCAGCGTTTCTTGCCAGAAATATAAGCTAAAGGAATACTCTATTGGAACGTCACGAATTTTCCCATTTTTTCAATTGTTACAGACAATCTGTCAGGAAAATGATATTTTATACTACGTTAAACATTTCAATACCATTGAGGATACTTTGATTATGGTTATACCACAGTAGGCAATAAATTGATATGGTCACACTGGAAAAAGTGTCAGATTGCAAGAGGAAAAGGCACAAACAAGGATCTTAATGTTTAAAAATGGATGTCAGCAATTTTGGCTTTAAAAAGTTATACTCGTCATTTATCCCAAATTATGGAGCATCGTGAGAAAATTTTTAATTGTGCTTTTCCTGGTTGGAAAGAATTTCTGCGAGGTTGCCATTCTCCAAAACAAAAAAAGAAAGGAAAATAAAAAAAAAAAAAAAAAGACTGGACACTATATACTAACCGAGGATATAACTGACCGAGAATAACCGAGGTTAAACCTAATAAGATTGATGCCAAATGTTCAAAATTTGTTTTTAAAGCAGCAAATTCATCTTTCTCTTTGAAAGATTGTTGTTCAGTTATTTTATGTAACAGTTATTTTATATGTGTATTAATTAAATTTTAATTTAATTTAAAAGTAACATATGCTTCTTAAGCCTTTAAACAATATAGTTCCCTACAGTTAGAAATTAAAAAATTTTAATGTAGCTTTATAGCAGCTGTGAAAAAAACATTTAAATTGATAAATTTGCAAAAATTCAAAATTAGGAAAGTAGGGGTCTATCCAAAACCGAAAAACAGGGCAAAGGGTCTCTACGAGAATTAATTGTTTCTACGAAAGACAGTTAAATTTTCCAAACAATAACTAATCTTGTTTGAATTTTTTGTTTGAGAAATTTTTTTTGTCATAATATACCTCGCATTATTGAAATGCACTAGACGTACTTTCTTCACATCGTTATCCGCGTCTAATTATTTGAACTGAATTTATTTATCATTTCATCATAAGAAGGTGAACTGATTTCTGCATTATCATCATTTCCATTTTAGTCTTCATCACTTTATTGTTTAATTTTTTTTTCACATTATTCAAAATATCCGATTCTTTTTGTGTTTCCGAGGTTTCAGTTTCCGAATCAAGTAAAAATAAATCATAAAGCAGCCCTTCATCGGTAACTTCTTGGTTTTCCATCAGCTGGACCTCATTTTTTAAAAATTTCTTCTAAGGGTGTAAGGGCGCCCCACCCTCGGGTGCCCTTCTCCTTGATTATCAGCATGAGCTAGAGGTGTAGGGATAAAGAAATAACTAGAAGCTGCCATGATCTTAATTTGACTTTATTAAGATCTTAACTTAAACCTCTATCAAAATAGATAATAGTAATATATGCGAGAGAATCTACGTTGGCTAAACACACAATATATATAATACCGAAATAACGTAACCCGGACCACTATCAATACTAACTCGCCTAAGCTCAATTCCTAGTCTATCAAAGATCCGAATATTAAATAGTCACTCCTACCTTTAATGTAGACTGAAGTAGCGATCAATATAATCCTAGATGAAGTTGCAGTTTAGGTCAAGGTGCAATGGTATGCACCTTGACCTAAGGGCTCTCTATCATGTATAATTTCTGTTGGCTGTCACTTAACCTTTCCAAAACCTCTTCATGCCTGGATCCTGGATTATGATAACATTCCCCGAATTGCCACACCGCTTACTCTAACTTCTGATATTTAAAAGCTTCTTAATTTGCATCTTTCCTTCACGCTTCACTTCTTGGGTTTAGTTGGAAAAGAGTTGCCATTAATTCTGGCACCAAAGAAAAGACGCGTGAGCCCGTCACATGAGAATATCGTCTTCGTTCTTCGTACTTGCTGAACTCTCACTACTAACAAAGGGATTCAGCTTTTGTAAAAATATTTTCAATAATATATGATCTGTAATATTATATTTCTATGCATTGGAAATGTTTGAAATGCTTTCCTGGTAGTTGATGTTTGTCACAGATTGTTAGTTCTCAAGGATAGTGATAACAATCGAATTACAAGAGAGAAAACTCGTTAAATAGAAAATATGCTTTATGAAAATATTTTATGAAGAAAATCATAAAATTTTCCTGGTTCCAGGAAAAAGTTCGCAAAATAGAGGATCGTAAAATGGAGGTTCGACTGCATTTCAGGAGTGAAAACATATATACCAATGCTTCTTTTTTTCAGAATTCTATCATTAAATAATATTTTTTTCATCAAGCTCTCCCTATATAGATTCTTAACATTTGTTTTTCATATTATGTTGATCTTTTTTCAGAAACTGTAATGGGTGCTTCAATAGGTGCGCAAAAAGGTGAAAATATAGAATATGTTTCAGCTGTTCACAAGTGAGTAAATCTTCCATACCCAAGCAATTTATTATTAACTAATACTCCGCATTATTATTTTTTTTGATACATGAATCTCAAACCTTTATCACTAATCTTTTAAATAGAACATGTTTCATTATATAATCAAACTGCTCTTCAAAGTTTCGTAGAATTATGAAAAAATACATAAGAAATATTGATTTACATATGATAATATTAAGTGTACCCATTCTTGCCGGAAGGATGGCTTAAAAAATTTAACAACCGAGATGGAAGGATAAAAATAATCTCAACGAAGTTAAATTTTTAAAACATATTTTTTGAATAATTATAAGTGAATTGCAAATTATAGATTCCAAGGAAAAAAACGATTTAGTAAATGAAATAGCAAATATTTAGTTTGATTATAATTTACATGGCGCTACGAAGCAACATAATAGACATCAGGGTCAAGTAACTCGTCAAGAGACGAGAATAACATCTGAGCTGTCACCCCCTCTCCTAATTTTCACACCAAGCCGACGGAAATGGATAATTCAATTCCTACTATTAGTCCACACTCTCCCTATATATATATATATATATATATATATATATATATATATATATATATATATATATATATATATATATATATATATATATATATATATATATATATATATATATATATATATATATATGACAGGTAAAATGAGGAGGGCATCATCTTCAAAATACTTCTTTATTTCGCTTCAATCACATAAAATCCAACATGGCGGCCCTTTGGCACGCAACCGGGTGGTACAAAAGACAACATATCGGCAAGGAGTCACCAGCCAAGCCTTTTCGAGTATGCGTTCGCCTTCGTCAGCGCTCGATCCACCTTTAAATAGGCTTATTAACCCACAAATCCTTACGCGATGGTAAAGAGTTCGCTCTATTTTCATTTCTTACTTCCTTAATTTTGAATCTAAACTTTTCAAACCTGACATATATATATATATATATATATATATATAGTCTTATTCTCTACAAACAAGAGACAACATTCAACAATCACATTCGAAAAACACATAGACAGTAGAAAAATCACGGAATGAAGGACACATGAGCAACCGAGATTAAAAATTATAAAATGGATGCTGCAGTATGGATTGCTGACTTAGGACAGCTAATATATAAAATAATTTATACAAAAGTGGGGTTGAACATGTTTTTTGGCCAGCCAACTTCCTTCCCTCCCTTTATGTAAATAATACTGAGCAAAAATCTATTAAAAGTAACACACATATATAAATATACATATATACTTTGTTCAAATTTTCAATTTTTAATAAAATACTTTTTATTCATCCACTGAAGTTCAAATACATTTTTTGAACTTGCTGTGGATGACACTTGATGTTAATACAGTTTTTTCAAATAGTAATTCATTAATACGATTTAATTAATGAATAAATTGTAATAAACAAAAATAATATTCGAACACCCTATATAAAAAGGAAAAGCAGTCGTTGCGTCCCTGTAGCGCGATTAATAGCCCGTTGGGCTTCTAATCCAAAGGGAGTGGGTTTGAATCCCACCTGGGGTGGCATAACTTCTCAAAATGTGATTTCTTTTTACTATACTATTTTATTGGTATAATTAAATTTAGTTAATGAATAAGTGGTAACAAACAACAATATTAGTCCAATACAACATGTAGAATGGAAAATGAAAAATTGCAAGGAAAATCGCTTTCTATTTTGCCATTTAATAGTGTGATTATGTCCTATGTCTATGAATATTTATATTAATTGTAATTATTTAATAAACAGTAGCTAAAATAAAATTTTTCTTTATCGACCTAAATAGGAATTGATTCAATTTTATCCCCTTTATATTTCTTGTGTTTAATGCATATTGGTTTAGTAAGCATTTCAAGTAATATGAAAATTATTTAAACTGAAGTTCAGAACCTATATTACAAAACTTGACACTTAAAACAAACAGTTAAAACTGCGTCAGCCGAAAGTTAAACCCGGGTCAGCTACTTGGAAAGCTATACCATCGACGCTTCAAATGATCAGCACATTTTACACTTGATTAAACATTACGAATCAGGTTGCTTCTCGTGTTATTTCCTTTATTTCAGTGTTCTGCAGGTTTTAGCGAGAGAAGCCAACTTTTCCAAAAATGTCAACTTCTTTCTCTTGGTACCCAAAAGTGACCAACCCCTATCGTTTTTTATATTTTTATTTAATCTTATTCTTTGCTATTATCTTTCGATTGGTATATCATTTGTGCAAGCGGAAAGTTAGAAGTTGTATAAAACTTCATTTGAAAACAAATTAGGCAATTCAGCAACGCTCCTTTTTAGGAAAAAAAACTAAAAAAAGGCGTTATGATAAAAAAAAATCTATTTTATAAAGAGAAATAATCAAGTCAAATTAAGTTGTTTTATTTCTTTACAGCATATTGCTTGCATATTAGGCTATTCTCGCATTTTTTAAATTTTTTGTACATGAAAACAGTAGCACTGAAGTAAAAAATAACAGCACTCAAGATATTTGAAATATTTTTCAACAATAACAAAGAAAATGACAGCTAATTGCTTCCTGGAAGAAGAATAAAATTAATTCTAATTGTACACTAAGCAAAATAACTTTTTCAAAATTAAGCTCTTGAAAACAGCCGCGATTGATATTATTAATAGCACAAAATATTAAACTGAAGCGCACATAAAAATTCAAATGCTAATCACCAATCAAATTTAGAATTCGGCATGCCAACAAAGTGATTAAATTTTCAGAAAAATTACACAATTTATTTCAGAGTTACATAGTTACAAAGTAATGAGCTCAATAAGGTGTTGACCTTTAGCCTGGATGCAAGCTGCCACACGACGTGGTATAGAGTGATAAAGCACCTGACAGTCTCCTGCTGTATTTCTTGCCAAATTTGCTCCAATTGTCGGGCCAGATCATCAACATCCCCTGGTAGATGCAGCCACATTCCCATCGTATCCCAGGCATGTTCGATTGGAGAGAAATATGGTGATCTGGCAGGCCAAGGAAGTGTTTGACAAGCTGTAAGACAGTTCATAGCAACACTTATCATATATTGTCTGGCATTATCTTGCAGAAAAATAAGGCCAAGATACTACAAAAAGAACGGTAGCACAACAATTCTCAGAATGTCATCGACGAACCGCTGAGCTGAAAGTATGCCTCTAATGACGACCAAAACGCTCCGGCTGTCAAAAGAAATGGCATCCGTGACCATAACTTCTATTTGAGGGCTTGAGTTGTGCGCAATAGTGAAAGCAGGATTGGCATGCTGCCCTTGGCGTCTCCAGACACGTCTTCGATGATTGTCAGGACACAATTGAAAGCGGGATTCGTCGCTAAACACAATAAGTTACCACTCAGCATGATTTCAACCTGATAGAGCCAATCACCACCGAAATCTGGCTCGACAGTGTGCAGGTGGAAGTGGCAGGTGGCGTAGTGGTCGTTAAGAGCGTAAATTTCGATCTATTAGCCGTCTGTGAATGGTCATGGTGGGCACTTGTGTGCAGGTCGAACGTCTGATGGTTGATAACGATGAATCAGATGTTGTACAGCTGATTTGTCAATCAATCTATCCTCCCGATCTGCTGTGGCTCTAGGTCAACCACTACCTTCATGACGCTGAAATCTGCTATTGTCAACCCATTCTTCCAGCTCTAATGGTCACATTGCTTTGACCTATATGACAAACGATTCTCCTATTTTTCCTACCTGAGTCTTTCAATCCAATAATACGACCTTTTTCAAACTCTGAGAGTTGCTCGTAATGATCTCGAATCCTACGGTGAGGCTTTTTTCAGTCGTTGAATGATATCCTAAATCTCAATGCAACAGAAATTTTGACCATCAGATTGAGAATGATTTCTTATAGACACATATTAAATGCGTAATTCCGATGCGCTGTAGCTCCTGCTATTCATTCATTGGACACCAAATTTTAATCATTTGCATGTTCGGTATAAATGTCTTTGCATACGAAATTTCATTACAATCGGGTATCTTCTCGGTGCATTGATTTTTTGTTATAGAGTGTATATATATCTTGTTTAAATTTTCAATCTTTAAAAGAAAATATATTTTCTATTCATCCATTCAAGTCTATTTTTTAAACTTGTAGTGGATCATACTTGATGTTTTAATACAATTTTTTAAAATATATTTATTCATATATGTTTATTAAATTTTATTTTTTAATTTTAAATTTATTCTGCGTTATTTCTGTAGAAGTTACAGCTGGCTGCAATAGATGGTGCTAGTACATTTTTCTAACGAAGTAGGAGTCGACAGTCAATTTATCAATCAATTATATCAGTCAATTTTAAAAAATACTTAGTTTTTACATTACTGTCCCTAAACCACGATAAACCACGTGTTGATAAACCACGTTTTATACTACGTTCAAATTTAATTTAATTTTTCTATAATTTTTTTTCAGTTTGGGAAATTTTTTCAACCAGCGAACTGTGAGGCCGTGGCTGTGGTTAGATTGTCTCTTCAGCCTTTCTAGTTCTGGAAGAGGCTTCGATAAAGATCTTCATGTAGTGCACAGCTTCACTGAAAAAGTAACGGTCAACTCTAAGAACTGAAATACAATCGTTGTGATTATATATATATATATATATATATATATATATATATATATATATATATATGACATGTTTTGATGCCAGAATCAGACTTAGTTTTTTAAGAAATGGATCTTTATTCGATGAAATCTGTACAAGTTCTGACGCTGAGAGGGAGAGAGAGAAAGAACGCCAAAGTGAAATCTAAGTGTTTTACCACTTAAAAAGCATATGTGATAAGTATCGCGGATTTTATGAGTGTACTTGAAAGTTAATGCTGACATATAAGGGTTATTAAATATAACGATCTGGAATTAGACATGTTTATTGGCTAGGCCCTATGTTTGGAAGAAATAAATGGGTGATTAGTTTGATACTTGAAGATCAAATGAAAAAAATATGAGGTAATTGCTAGATAGGGAATTTAATTTTTAATCTAATTTAATTATCCTTACACACACACACACACACACACATATATATATATATATATAAATATAAATATATATATATATATATAAATATATATATATATATAAATATAAATATATATATATATATATAAATATATATATATATATAAATATAAATATATAAATATATATATATATATATATATATATATATATATATATATATATATATATATATATATATATATATATATATATATATATATATATATATATAAATAAATGAAAACCAGAATAAAGACAACAGATAATTTTTGAAATAACTGAAATGTTCTTTTTCACCCTTTAAATTTTGCAAAATTTTTGAAGTAATAAAAATTAAAATTTTAACATATACTCCTATACGAATATAATCAAATATTTAAGCGCTATTTTAATACAGTGAGAGATGTTCGCGATAGCCAAGGGGTCATGGTCACGAACTCAAGCCGGCGCGTCATGAGTTCCAATCCTAGAACCACGGATTGATTGATTGAATATTAACGTCGCACTGTTCAGCTGCACGAGGGCTTTTGGCGACCGACCACGTAATTTTGAACCATGGTCAAGTGATGTGGACGACTTCTGAGCTGGAACCCCTCTCTAAACTACCACACCACACCAACGGGAAAACGTTTCAACTCTCAACAGATTTAACGTGCATCGCTGCCCTACACGGTGGGTCTTTAGTGGTACTGGGCTCGAACTCGTGACATGGCAAGCCACGATCCGATACCTATACCACTCGGCTACCGTGGCCACCATAGAGCCGCCGAAGATACGCCATACAGAAGGACTGCTACACCTTAAATCGGTCATGGCTCATAGTCCTTACGTTGGTGTGGTATGAAAGTCATGAGAATAGGAATTCAGTTCATGTGTCGTCCTCCGTGTCAGAGTCGTGGATTTAATTCTTGATGTCACTAAAAAATATCATGTAAAGTGATTGATGCGTGTTATAGCTGTTCAGACTCCCGTTATTCGAAACCTGAAAGATTGGAGAATGAAGTACTGTCTCAAATGTCATCCTTGTTACTTGACAGCAGTTCAAAACTACGAGTTTCGTCGCCAATAGCCCTAGTGTTGCTTTATAATGAGTTGGAGTTAATACTTTTTTAGAGTACAGTAAAACAATTAAGATATAAAAACCCAATTATTAAATACTTTATTGTGACTAGAGAAAAGTGTAAATCAAATTTTTATATAGTATACTCGTATATTTCCTGTTTGGAATAAGATTCATTTATATTTGTGGATACAGACACCTTGAAAAGGTTTATTTTGGAGGTTTCACTGTTTAACATTATTATAGTTTTAAAGACAGTATCGGCGCACATTAGCAAAATTTTTAACCATGTTACTAATAATAGCTACAGTTATTATTAGTAATGTGAATTAGTAAGGACTCAGTGAGAATTTTGTATACCTTTCTGTGACTCCAGAAGAAAAATAAAATCAAGCACATCACATCTGGAGTAGGTACTTCCCAAAGAGCAAGTTCATTTCACCTAATCTAAAGCAGGG